TTTTTTTTTTTTTTTTACTGTTGTTTGTATAAATATGGTGAAACGTTAAAATCCATATGAAAACATTTATTATTGACTGAATGTCGCATCTGTCAACGTCTGTGTTTCTCAGAATCCAAACTGTCCGGATGCTTCAGATCTCCAGGATTGTTTTTTTTCTCCTCTGGGATCCCACAGGGTTCTGTACTCGATCCCTTCCTCTTCTCTTGGACCTCCCGTGGTCTGGTGGTTTTTCTTATCGCTGCTAAACAGATGACTTCTATCAGATGACCTCAGTATCTGAGGGCTCGATTTGACTGATCTCAGTTCGTGGTCTAAAGCAGTGGCTAAAAATGAAAGACTCTCGTCTCTGGATCTCTGACATGAGAACTCGTCTTCTTCTGGCTCTTTGATATTTATTTCATGAATGAACTGAAAACTGCACCTCCTGCCTCATGGGTCAGGAGGTGTAGTTTTGTGAAAACTGTTCAACCATATACATTTCCTCCAACATGGTTTAGAAAGCTGCGGGGCAACTTGACTCAACATGAAATATCGTTGGACTCTGACCCTGATGTAGTTGGCGTTGATGTAGCGGTCTGGTCCTGCCTCGTCCTCTGAGCTCCTCAGAATCACCCGACTCTCAGGATCTAAAGAGTCGACAACAAACGACAGTGATGAACGTGTAGAAGCAGCGTTTTCACTGAAGACGGGAGGACAGGCGGGACACTGACTGGGGAGGATGGTCTTGTATCTGTCCTTCATCGTGTGTCCTGGAACGTCGAGCTCTGCGGCCTTCACAAAGTTCGGAGGGATCTTCTGTGGAGGAGACAGGGACGAGCTGGACGTTAAAACAAACGCCCCTCGTGTCGTGCTCGGTTCAGATGCAGAAGTTATCGTGAACTTTTTAAACTGTTCAAACTCAGTGACCGCGTCTCGACCGTTACCTGGTACTCGGTGTTCAGTGTGTCTGTGTCAGCGGCCGCTTGCTGCAGGAGGGCGTGTATGAGCGGTCGGGAGGAGGTGTGAAGCAGCTGAAGCCACACCTCCTTTGGGGTGGAGACAGAGCACAAAGGCTCCTCCCCAAGCGTGCTTACATTTAGTAGCAGCGACAGATTGGAGCCCCGCCTACAAAACACAAAGACGTTTCGAGAAAATGTGAATATTTTAGAACTTTTGGAATGTGAGTAAAAGTAACGGAGATTTGTCATTTGTTGTTTTAGAAAGTAATACGAAAGAAATTATGACATTTAGTAATTTTGAACTTTGTTTCAATAGAAATGTTACGATATTTTCAAAAACTTTGTTAAGCGTGTGTGCGTGCGCATGGTTGACACCGACCTCTCTTGCAGGCGGCCCGAGGCCTTGCCAGGGGTTGTGGTCATTGGTGGGGGTGTGATCGGTTCCTCGGGGGGAGGGGAGGCTGCGTGAACTGCCGACATACTCACGGCGGGTTTGTGTGTCTTCGTCTCAGGTGTTGGTCACATCACCGAGCTGTCGAAGAGAGACACAGAAACATCATTAAACTTTTCAGTCGACAACAGGAAACGTACATTTTACACAGTGTAAACTGCTGCAGCCACAAAAACACACACAAAAAAGAGAAACTGAAAAAGACAGAGGAAACTGTGAAGAGCAACGATCGCGACTCTGAGTCGCTGATCTGTTTTACATTGACTCAAATTTGTTGCTTCATCGCTAGAAACTCTGAAAGAAGTGAAAAAGTCCCACGTCCATCACGTCACAGTATAAAAACAGGATGTTTGGTCATTAACAAGCTTCTGTACAAATGAAAACGTTACGTTCAGGCTCCTCGTGTTTCTTCAGGCAGCTGTTTGAAGTGACGAGTAAATAAATGATGAGATGACGGGTGTGTGTGTGTGTGTGTGTGTGTGTGTGTGATTCAGTGTGTTTCCGCAACAGTTTGGACCTGAAACGTTTCAGTGTCTCCATCGGAAGAGAGTTTCCTCATATGAGTAAGTCACTACACACACACACACGCACACGGTCGTACCTACATGACTTCAGAGGACATTACATTAATTTCCTGTAGATTTACTCGTTGACCAAAGTTATGATTAATCAACCTTAACCTAACTCTACACACACACACACACACACACACACACACACACACACACACACACACACACAAAGATGTTTGTCAAATAATCAGATTACTAATGAAACACAATGACTGATCTGTTTCCTTCTTGTGAAACATCAACGGCTCCGATGACACAAGTAACGTTCGTGCACATTTAGTCAGTGAATGAACAGTTCCTATATTAATGCCCCCCCCCCCCTCGGTTAACTTCTGTCCAATGTTAGACTCATATCAGGTTTTCATCACGATCATCACAAACAAAATAATTCACAATGACAATACCACGATATTAACACAAGTACAATTTTAATAAAATAGTTTATTGTGTATTCTGTTGTTGTTTTTTTCAACAAAATAGAAAATTTAATTTAACACAGTACAAACATGACAAAAACATATGTTTATGTTCACGATATTATCATATATGTGTTTTTAACAACGACACGTGGACGGATCCTCTGTGTTCCGACTGTACGATACGCCCGTCCTCCTCTTGTGAACACAATATCTCAAGAATGCATTGAGGGAGTTTCTTCAAATTTACTACAAATATTCACTTGGACTCAAAAATGAACTGATAAGAATTTGGAGGTCAAAGGTCACTGTCACCTTCCAATTTGTTTTAACCTTTAACCACGTTAAGAACACCTCGAGAACCCTTTTAAATTTGGTACATGAAGTTTTAACTTTTTGGAATTTCTTTACATTCTGACGAGTTGTTACTCGAACCCAAAGATGAACTGATTAGAACTCAGTGCTTTTAGGTCAAAGGTCAAACGGTCACAGTGATCTCATTTGAGCCTGGGAATAAAATACATGTTGATGAAACTGCTCTGTGAGAGGAGGCAAATGACCACAGGGGGGTAATTCTAGGTTACAACATGCTTTAGGTCAGATTAGACAAATAAGATCCATCACAGAAGTTTTGTTTTAAAAGAATAAAGTTTCAACAACATGTTTTTTAAAGGTTCTGATAAATGCTGATCGTTCTTACCAGGTGATCTGCTGCTTCTCCATCTCAGCAACACCGCTCATCTAACTAACTGATTAACCAACGACCCAGCCGACTACCTGAGCAGGTAACTAACTAACTAACTCACTGACTAACTAGACAACCTAGTAAGAAACTCAAAGTGTGAGTTCTCTGTGTTTCTCTTCTCTTCAAAAGAAATAAATGACAAATCAGGGGCAAGAAGCAACAAGTGAACAGAGAGAGAGAGAGAGAGAGAGAGAGAGAGAGAGAGAGAGAGAGAGAGAGAAAGTAAAAGTGAAGGATAGAACAACAGTTCACGAGGTGGAGGAGAGAGAGAAGCAGCAGGAATAGACATGTCCTGTTTTTCTGGTCGTTGTTTCCACGAATTCAAAGTCTTCAGGTAGAGGGAAAGAAAACAGAGAAAATGAGTCAGATAGCGAATGAAATGATGGAGGGATGATAAAAGACAGGAAGAGATGCTCCAGGCGTTGATTATTAGCACACCGAGAGCAGCTGCTCATGAATCATTCATGTCAGATCGAACAGCCGCAGCACAGGAACATGGAAAACACACCTTCACTCAACGAGAACACAGACGTGATCACGATCGTCTCCGAAAAAATCTACGTCAAAACTTCACGTTGTTTCTCTCCAACGTAAAATTCTGTTTTTGACTTTGTTTCATAAAAAACTGTTCAAACCAACACGGAGGCGCTATCTCTGTATATAAAGATAA